ACGACAGCCTGACCTTTCTCTCTAGACACCCTGAAGGTCACCCTGTAACACACCCTCCTTTGATAAAGCAGCAGCTTTGCAGGAGTTCACTACTGAGGAGGGTAAAGGGTAGGTTCCAGAAAGCTTTAAATTGAACAAGAATATGATTGTGTGCAGGCTCTTATCTGCCGCCTCAGCACTAATCATCCTGACAGCCCGCATCAGTGGAAGAGGAGCAGCCATTGTAAATCCGCAGCCATAAAGCAGCATGTGCGGTCATGAATGATGCATGAGGGACCAAGGTTACATTTCACATCCTGGTGCTGCTCTGATGTCATCAGCCAATAAAGGACAGAGGGGACATTAGTACATGGATGTTGATGTGCATTGGAGTTGATGCCATACTGTTTTTCTGTTGTTCAGGGAAACTGTTCCTATGGAGATTTGACAGCAAAGCCAAGTGTAATTCACCACAAGGCTCACTGATATGCTGACTGGAACCATCCCATTTAAAGGGAGTGTAGAAATGCTTAAACACACACATTGCGTTCCATACTGTACGATGTCTGCCACTACATTGGAAAATGTGCGTTTTATTGTTTAACACATGTTGAAAACTGCTGCATGTGAAAGTCATATAATGTACAGGCAAATGTGGTTTTGATACAAATAGTATGAGATAAATATGCACGATGAAGACCAGGTGATTTTGCAGCATGTTTAAAACTATAAGTTATCATGTTTAATGCATGAAACAATTGTAATAAAGATTTCTATAATAATATGGATTTTAATCCAAAGCTAAAAACCACAACAACTATGTGAAACCAACAATCTGTAATTAAGGAGGGAGGGGGTTATAACCTTTTTTTTTCACAGTCTTTGACCTATCCTGCCATCATGGAACAAGGAAGTTATTTTCTAACCACTTATGTAATTGTAAGTAACTCAGAATATATTTCCAATTAACATGGTGGATCAGCACAAACACAGCGGCTATAACAACCTTTCTTTAGAGCCTCACCTGTCTGCCAAGTGTGACACCTAGATGTTTTTGTAGCTGCAAATTAAGTTATATAACTAACAGCCATGAAGCCACAGGAACAGTATGAGGGGCCGTTTAGGCGAACTAACCTCGCGCACACAATACTGAAAACATCTGGCCTTGCACAAACACATCTTCATACTCTCACAGTACTGACCTGAGCACCCAACAAGCAGGTCTTAAAGTCACACTCTCCACCTAACAGTTTAAAATACTTTACTAAGATTGATGTACAGATTACTTGAGCAACGATAATTCATTGTGCAGTATATATTCACCACTTTTTCAACATTGGAGTTAGTCCTTATATTTCGTTTTTAAGTGTTACTGTAATTTCATTAAATAACTGCTGTGTTTTACTTTATTGTGTTTCTCACATTCTCAAGTGGCATTCCTTTATGTTATTTGTTAAATAGGGCTTCTTAAACCTACACAATATTCAGAGCACAAGTTTGGGAAATACTCTCTTTTTTATTTGTATTAGATGAGACGATTGATTTAAATATTAGGTACATAATGATGAAATGAAAATGTAACAACCAGAATTTGACTGTACTTCCAGGAACTCATTCCCAGACAAGCAAGCCAGCCAATTGACTAGTAAATAAGGAAGCCACAGCTGACTGAATTCTAACATTAACTAATCATTTGCTAGACACAGTTGTTATGGGAGCATCAGAAGGGATGTGACAGTCACATGACATTGAGAGAGCTTCACATGATCAATCTCCAGTGAGTTAACACATAGTAAAGGTCAGCTTGGATCAATGATGTCCCGTCATTTAAGTATTTTGCTCCTCCTGCTGTGACTGTTCCACGACCTTAATGATAGGTGCTTTTTCCTGGGACTAAACAAGTAATTAGAGAGATGGGTAATTGCTTTAAAATCAATGAGGGAGGAAGATTTGTATGATCAACATCCTGTGTACTCTAGTCTGCTGGTCCACGCTGGAGCGAGTGAGCTCCCTGCTGGCTGATGAACAACAGTGACTTGTTTGGAAGGAAGATGAAAGAGAAACAGCTGAATATGCAGAGAGACCCCATGATGTGTTATGGTCCTTCTACAATGTTTTTCACAAGATAAATCTTTAAATGCAAACAAGGTCCTAGGACACTCCTGTTTATGAGTCTCATCCTAGTTGTTGTCATGTACATATAAGCTATACACAATACCCAGGTTTCTGAGTCTTTGATAGTTTAATGTCCAGCCTTTTTCTGTCAGGTCCTCCAAACTAAACTGTAAAAAACTTGCAAAGTCGCACAGAAATATGATCTGATCTGAGGCCAGGATGCCCTTGTTCCAACGTCTTTACATATGATCATCACCATGTTCATAGAGCTGTTTTCTGACCCCTTCTCAGTCTATTGTATACGGTGGCAAACATGTGCAAACGCACTACAAAGTTCAAAACATTTCCATTGCACCATGCAAATATAAAAAACACAAATGTGCCAAAACACATTCACCAACTTGACAATACATGTGCAGCATATACAAAAACATTCACCAACTTGATTCAATAACCTGAGCTCTTGTTGATGTTCAGGAATTATACATTTGGCCAACTGACATGTTGGCACAGTAAGCCTGTTTCAGACTTAAAAGTGTTTCGTCAGTATATTTGAAATGACTAGGCTAGCTAGCTTAGAGCAGATCTGCAAATATCAGAAAGAATCATGTGATTACATTGTTAAAATAACCCATTTTATGTAAGTTTCCAACAACAGTGTCGATTGTGTTTCTATATCCGTATCGTTTTTAAAACTGCAACGCATTTTTCTTAATGGAATTGTTTTCCGCTGTTGTAGCGCGTTTGCACCGTAAGGTACCACCATTGATGATTTAAACAGAGTTTTTAAGTTTCAAAGATTCCAAAGATTCCAAATATGTCCTGCTGATTTTTCTGGAAATATGTCTACAATCAAGCCACGATGTAACATTACCAAATCATCGAGTTTTTGGTGTGGTTGTTTCACATTGTGAAAACTGAGATGTGAATCATTATCACCTAATTATCATCAGTATGTGTTTTTTTTGCATGTTAAGCTTTTCTAGAAAAGACCAGCTCAAAAACAAGAAAATAAACTACTTATGGAGTTTGTGATGAGATTGTTTCGTCAGCGGTCATCAGAGATGTAAAGTAACTTAAGTAATTACATTTACTCAAGTACTGTACTTAAGTAGAATTTTGAGATACTTGTCCTTTACTTGAGTATTACAATTTTTTGCTACTTTGTTCTTCTACAAAGTCGCAAACATTTTGTAAAATCTAATCAAGTGTTAAATCAGACTTTAGTTCCACCTGGAGTAAATCCACAAGCTACCCTGCAGTATACAAAGTCATTCAAACTAGCTGCACCTTCACCAGCTTTGAGAACACTTTCATGATCAATCATTATAAAACACATCATATATATTATTCTGAAATGGACCAATCTGCACAATGACTACTTTTGGTACTTTAAGTATATTTTGGTACTAATACGTTTGTACTTCTACTTGAGTAACATTTTGAATGCAAGACTTTGACTTGTACCAGATTATTCCTACACTCTGGTACTTCTTACTCAAGTAGAACATCTGAGTACTTCTCCCACCTCTGGCGGTCATATTCAAGGTCAAAAACGAACTCAGCTTTAACCCAACATACAGTTTGTCGATAAGAAACCACCCCCAAAAAGTATTAGAAAAGAGACATCAATATCTACATCTCCATGACAACTAAAACAACACCTGATGAATGAATGTGTTTGTGTGAATTGGACTTTTATTACGTGTTCTCCATGTAAGTCTAATTCTCCTAATGGCTGGGCATTCAGAATATGAATATGAAGAATATAATCTAAGAGAGAAATACACAAATCCACAGCAAGAAAAAGATACCCTGTTTAATCAGCACCTTTATGCAGCCACAAATGATGCAAACATTGACGGCACCATCCCACATGAACCTGGCTCTTGATACATCGATTACAGTCCCCTTGCTCTGCAGAAGCTAGCACAGTTTCCATAGTTACTCTCTGCAGCCCTCCTCCACCCCCCTGGCCCACACTCCCATAGCTATGTGATGCAGGAAGTGCAGTGTTGGAGGAGTGCGACAGTTTCCAGCGTGGCACAATAACCTACTTCCCGACAAGCAGGGGAAGGAAATGACCCGGATGCTGAATAGTAAACGAGTAGAATGAAAGAATACAGAAGCAGGAGAGGAAAGGGAGACGGCAGGGAAGTAAACCCAATGGGTAGACGGGGTGGATGGGAGGAATGGTGGAGAGGGGAAGGAAAAGGAAAAGTAGCAATGGAGAGAATGAATAGGAAAGAAAGAAAGATGTAAGGAGAAAGCAAGAAAGAGAAAAGGTGATGTAGGATAGGAAGTGCTTCATGGGATTATACATCTTTAACATATTGACCTTGTGAATCTTGGGAAAAACAAATGCTTGAACAGGATTGGCCATTCAAATGCAGACATGTTTCCAAACTATAACCTATGTACCTAAATGTAGTCTCTGTACATTTTCTTGTAAATCATTGAGAATGAAGCACATCAATCTGCAGATATTCACTCAGGCACATGCAACTCATCAACAGTTCATGAGCAGTGGAGAATAACCACACCGTGAATTCAAATCAGTATGTAGCTCTGAATACGATGATAACCAAATATGCCAACATTGCTCAGACTAAATGACTCCCCTGTTGTATCCCGATGACACACTTTCTCCTCTGCCCATGTGCAGAGCATCCCCCCCCCCCCCGTCCTCAGCGGTCCTGATGAGAGGATGGAGATCCCCTGCATGGCTTTCATCTGCTCTGTTTCTCCTCACATTTTCCATCAATTCAAGGGTTTCCATTCGACGACACCACCTTATAACGCAGCTTCCACCCTGCAAGCAGGTTCTATTGTGTGATTCCCCAGCAGAGGCTATAACTCATCTTATTCTAACCTTCAAATAAGAAAAAAGGAATGTGAGGACTCACCAACATGAGTGATGACACACTGCACCCTCTGCAGCAGCTCCTGGACCGACATCTCGTCTTCTCTCAGCCAGCTCAGCATCTCAGGGTGTGGGTCGCATCCACCCTCCTCCCCTCCTGTCTCTCTCTCTCTCTCTCTCCGCTGCCACGCCTCCGTTCGTCACCCTTCCTTTCCCGACAATCACCCCCTCCTTCTGCTCACTATAATCCAATGTTCTCCTGTGAATTGATCTCTTCCTTTCTCTCTGATGCTCCTTGTGTCTTGTAATTTCTTCTTTGAGCTTTAGGATGTTGATCTTCTTCTCTCCTTCACCATGCCTCCTTCAAATCCATATAATAACAAATTGGGGGGACACATATGATGCTACTCCTAGCCAGTCAGCAAAACCAGGAATTATGGCGTGTTAAATAATCAGCTTGGCAGCCAGGCAAAGGTACAATAACCAGCCAGTCAGGGAATAAAAGCAGCTCAGATAGCCAGTAAATGAATTTAAAACAATCAGCCAGTGTTTACTGAAATATCAAGTTCATTGTCAGCCAGTCAATCACACAATACATTCTATAGGGAGTCAGTCAGTCAGTAAACAAAAGAGATAAATTGTGTCTCAGCCAGAAAACAGAATTAATCTAAAACTAGCCAGGAAATCATTGCAGAAAAGCGCACACTTTTCAGTTCATGTGCAGTAAAATGACCCGCCCCTGCGTAATTAGGTTAAAAAAGGTCATTAGGAAGCAACAAAAACATCAGCCACCCTATGGAGTCCTTTTCATGATGCTGGCAAACATATCCAATCATTCAAAAGAAGCCTCCAGGTCAAAGCACAATAGTCCTCACAGCCACAAAAAAAGGAAAATGATCCTCAAAAATATGTTTAACACGTGCCAAACATAGCCAAATAAAAAGGATGCTCCTCAGGAAGTAACTAACCCACTTCACGTTTACAGACACTCCTTAGGTTCCGGGTTGGAAAGCATGGCTGCTGCTTCTGTAATGATGCTCTCATAAAGGAGCTGAGTCACAAAGAGGAACCACGAATCAGAGGGCTGCTGTACCTGCCTGCAGGGCGGAGGGAGAGACACAGAAGCAGGGGGAGGGTGGATGTTGGATAGATAGGGTGGGGGTTAATAGGTCCATAACAGAAATCCTGGGCCTGGAACAACATGGATTGGAGCTATAATGGAACATTGACTGATCCTCAGACAGAAGTGTCACCTGCTTTTATTAGATCTGAGGTAGGGGACTTGAAAATTGTACACAATTGAAATTAATATTGTTTTTTCCTGAGTCTCTTTAAAGACAACATCCTTGCTTTCTGATTCATCATAATTTTTTTTGAGGGCTCAACAAAACAAATCAATGGCCTACCTACACCCATCATAGATCATTCATGTTTTAGGCTCATTCACTGCTACCTAGGCCACTCTGCTGATCCCGCTCCATGTTTTGATTAAAGCCAACCATGTGAGGCAGGGACATTAGCATCTCTCCATGAGCCTGTGTCCACTGGGACTAGATTGCCTGGGAGACGACTATTAGCCAGAGACATCTGCACTCAGTCTCATCCTCCCACTCATTTATCTCCCCTCAGCAGCCAATAATAGGCCCTTCTGAAGGCTTTCAAACAATAGAAACATAAAGCAGAAATGGCGGAACAGCTGGCAGACAAAGCATAATCCAAGGCATTTATTAAATACTATACATTCAAATGTTCAATTATTACCATGCAGCCAATATTTTGGAAAAAAATCAAGGAAAAGTACAAGACTATGGAAAGGAGAAAGGGAAACAAGAGAAATTGCGCGAAGAAGAAGAAGAAGAAGAAGAAGAAGAAGAAGAAGAAGAAGAAGAAGAAGAAGAAGAAGAAGAAGAAGAAGAAGAAGAAGAAGAAGAAGAAGAAGAAGAAGAAGAAGAAGAAGAAGAGAGGAGAAAAAGGAAAGGAGGAAAGGGGGGGGATACGTGAAAGGAGGAGCAGGACCATCTGATTGGTAGCAGTGATATGACGTCGGCGGAAGTTGTTTTCTCTTCCAGAGCGGGAAGCCGCTGCTGCTGCTTCAACATCGATTCGCTTTACACATGTCAACAACCAGACTCCACAACGCTGAGACACAGTTATCAGAAGCTATTTCATCTTTAGGCATTGTTAAGAAGAAGCTCATACCGTTGGATATCAACGGCAGGGTTTGTCTGACCAGCGGTGGATATATAAAGTAAGTGCGGTTTGTCTTTCTGTATAATCCTCAGATAACAATTGGCTAACACTAAAAGCTAATAGCAGGCTAACTTAGCTACATAACTGGGTGATTGTACTTAGCTTGTTCTTAATCTTTACTATGTAATGCCAGCTATAACGTGTTATTTTGCGACTCAATTATATATGCAAATACATTTTAACTCTACATGACAATGCTAAGTAACAAATTGTCAGTTTAACATCCATTGTTTATATGAATGGTTAGGGTAAGTAGCATCATAAGGCTTGTACTAAGAAGCCAGTTCAACATACCGTGGATATCTTTGAGTTATCTGGCTTAAATAACCCTAACAAACGAGATCTCGCTAAACGGTCCTTCGACGCTGGTTATCAACTCGATAAAGTGCCATTTGACCAGTCACAAAATGGAGAAGCGTACTTCTTCATGAATGAAGAGTAAACTATAATATTAGATAATCCAGGATGAAAGCAACATAGGTGCAGAGTGCAGGGAGTATTCATTATATTTAAAAGAGTTCATATACAAACATAATTGAATGCAGTAAGCACTGCAGGCTTAATTGTATATCTTAAAGACAGTGGTGATTTATTAAACGTTAAATATAAGCATTTTCTAATGTGAGGAGTATATGTTCCTTCTTTTACTTGTTCTTCTGTCCTGCACCTCTCCTGGATGTTTGTGCTTTTGTAAAAAGTGTTTCATTCCAAGAAGTTTGTTACTGTAAACATTTCTACATTCAGTATGCAGCATAGGCCTCAAGAAGCTGACACCCAGCAGCTGTTGATGACATAAGAAAGCACAAATCAGCATAAAGAAATGTAATGCTAACGTGTAGGGCTGCTCGATTATGGCAAAAATCATAATCTCGATTATTTGGGTCAATATTTGTAATTGCGATTATTAAATGCGATTATTCATTGACTTTGAAAACATCCATTTATTGTACTTTAAAACAAATACAAATAATAATTGGACATTTTTAACCATTGAATTATACGTTCAGGGTAATCAACTGAAAAAACAATATAAAATAAATTATACATTCATATCTACATTTAAATAAATAATATCAAAATAATAAATACCAATAAACAAGATCAACAAATATGTTGCAGTGCACTGTCACAACCTGAAAACTCCTTAACATATAGCCAACATTTTGGTAAAACATATTCAACATATTCCACTCAGTTAAACGTTGAAGGCTGTCCAACCGTCATGGTCCAGAAGTAACAGGAAATAAATGTTGAACTACAATTTAAGACCAAATAAAAATGTTTTGGCCACCATAGCAAATGCTGGTAGGGCTGCTCATGTCATCTCTTAAAAATGTTTTGCAAGAAACTAGGGCTGCTCTTTTTTTTATTTGGAACTGGTCTACACGACACATTTTTACAGAGTACTAGTTTGATAGTTTGTAAATTACATTTCAACTTTAAGGGAAACAAATTGGGTCATTTTTTAAAATCAAAACCAATTGTCGATAACCCTTTTTAGCTTTCTGATTTACAGAGAACCAAACTGTCATGTTTATTTTTTAAGAACAAATCTGTGCCTATGGGGTGACAGTCGTCTAATATGGGTCAGATTTGAGGGCCTCTGTCTGCTCAATAGTTGGTTGGATAATATTTGTTACATTTGTGTCTGTTTCTGCATCTGTATTAGGGCTGCACGATTTTGGGCAAAAAATCGAATTGCGATTTTTCGGACAAATATTGCGATTGCGAATCGATTTGCGATATTTGTTTTTAAGCGACCCAACGGAAGTTTATTGTAAAATGCGGCCATATCTCCGGCTAGGAAGGTCGCAGCCCGAGCTACGAGTGAAAGAACTAAACTTACATGAAACTTCCGTTGGGTTGCTTTAAAATCAAGCGACGGTGACTTGGAGTCTGTAGCTCCGTGTAACTGTCTTGAGAAACCCAAGCAGATGTCGTGAGCATCTCCCGCTGTATGCTCCTTAGAGCCAGCTGAGATGTCACGTCTCTTCCCCTCTGAGTCTCTATTTGTTGTGTTATGGGGCCCTCCAGTGTCTCAGCACTGTGGTGCCACATTTCGACAATCCCCACCGACACAGCGCATGCGTGTGGCGGTGGTGCCCTTACGGCTCCAGCCGGCACTGCGCATGCGCGTGACGGTGGTGCCTTCACAACCCCAGCCGGCACTGCGCATGCGCGTGACGGTTGTGCATTTACAGCCCCAGCCGGCACTGCACATGCTCGTGACGGTGGTGCCTTCACAGACCCGTCAATTGTCCGCCCTTTGAGAGAGGCCGTAGCTGCTCTCAGAAGGGGAACAGTTGACGGACTGTTTATTGTTTTTATTGTTTTTCTTTTCATTTTTTCAAGCTGCGCCCTTGGCTCGAAGCCTGGATGCGTCAGCGGAAAATGTTTTATGACAGAAAAATCAATAAGTGTGTGACATGTGTTTATGCGGACTTGAGGATGGTGTTGAGGCATCTCTCGAGGCGGCGGGAACACATTTAGAGCTGGGGAACCGTAGACTTCCAGCTCTGTCACAGAGGGGAGAAGGAGGGGCTGTCACGCCACTCACTTCTTTTTCCTCGACTGCTGGCCGAAATTCTGGGTTGGCTGCGCCTGGGCTGCAGCCGGAACCGGAGATTTTCTAGGCCAGCTCGCCCTCGTCCCCTGCCTGGGCTGGGGACTCGGGGCGGACTGCGACCTCTGCGTTTTCGGTATTTTGAACCGAGCAGGGTTCGGGGCAGCTTGGACGAAGGGCTGCCGCTGCGAAGGGCTACCGCTGCGAAGGCAGCGGCTGGGCCCTTCGAGGGAGGCAGAGGTGGAGGGCCTCGTCCTCCTTCTTTTTCGACTCGCATCTCCTCTGCATGGAGGCAAGAGCGGAGCCGAAAATCCCCTCAGGAACGATGGGCATGTCAAGCACATCCTCCTTTTCCCGGTCTGGGAGGTTGGTGAGGTTGAGCCATCTAGCTCTTTCCTGCACCACCATGATCCCCATTGTTTCGCCACAGCCTGGACGGCGCAGCGTTGGACACGGAGACAAATGTCTGTGACCGCGGCCAACTCGTCCAGAACGGCCGGTCCAGGGTTACTCGACATATCCTCACAGAGCTCCGCTTGGTATGCGGTTAGCAGTGAGGAAACGTTCAGAGCCCTGGCGGACAACGCTGTAGGACTCTTCAGTCATGGTCGACTGGAAACGGTCCACCTTCGCTGGCAGCGTGGGGTTCCTGCTTGGTGACGGGCCCATCCTCGGTAGGAGGTGGGCTGCCACCAGCAGTTCCATCGGCGGTATGCGGAGCAGGCCGAGCCTCTCCATACCGTCGCAGTCTAGGGAGGAGGCACCCTGGATTGGGGCCTTGTTGCTAAAGGGTCGGTCCCTCCACAGACCAACACCTCATCCAACATCTCCGGGAAGACCGGGAGGAGTTGCCTCCTTGTCCTCGTTGCTTGGGGAGAATGTTTCCCCTCGTAACGGGACCTGGCGGTCTCCTTGTCCATTTCGGGCCACGGGATGTCTAGCCTGGACGCAGTGCGCTGACACGCGGCCTGCAGGTCCATGCTCAGACAGGGCGAAGCTGGTGTGCTATCGCCCGGGACAGCAGCCATCGCTCCCGGCTTTGCCGTTTGAGCCGATGACATGAAGATATCTTCTTCTTGCTCATCCGAATCAGACAGGAGGAACTCAGAGGTGTCCTCTTCGTCCTCCATGTAGTCTAATTCCAGGACGTCCTCCGCGGGC